GCATTCCTGGAGACAAAAACATGAATAACACATATCTTTATTATAAGTCAGTGATGAAGGAATTATAGGGGTGTACACAGAATGTCGTAGGATCACATAGAAGGGAGAGTAATTCTGCTCATGGAAGATGACCTTGTGTTTATTGGAGAAGTTGGTAAGAAAATCTGATAGGGAGACAGGCAGTTTTCACTGAAAAAACAAACACTGCAGAAGACAAGTTGTTTAAAATAGAGTAGATTAAGTCACTAGGAACTACTAATGAACCATTTGTGGAAGTCACAAACTTTTTAACAGTAAATAAATCAAGAGACTTTATTAAAAAATTAATCCTGAAGAAAATCAGAACACCTCGGGCTGAAAGCAGCTACTTTTTTTATGGTGTACAGCATCATCATTCTTCTTTTTCACCGTAGAAAATATTTTCCAGATTACTTTCTCTTATTGCAGCAAAACTAATGTTTAGTGAGTGAAATCACAAGATGTTGCTTCCATATTCAACACAGAATGTAGAAAATAATTGGGAGGATGATTTTTTTTTAATTATGCAGAAAGCAAACAAATGCAGTTAAATAAGTACAGGTTTGGAACAATTTGTGGATGATAAAATGCCTATGTTTATCAGGCTAGTAGCTAAAAGTGTTTTAATTTAACAAATACATATTTTCTTTTAAATCCATCCTTAATTGGCCACACCATAACCAACTTCACAATTTTGCTCTGTACTCGCAGAGGCTCTTTTTAAAAATAAACATACAGGGCTTCCCTGGTGATGCAGTGGTTGAAAGTCCACCTGCCAATGCAGGGGACACGGGTTCGTGCCCCAGTCTGGGAAGATCCCACATGCCGCGGAGAGCTAGGCCTGTGAGCCGTGGCTGCTGAGCCTGCGCGTCTGGAGCCTGTGCTCTGCAACGGGAGAGGCCACAACAGTGAGAGGCCCACGTACCGCAAAAATAATAATAATAATAAAAAAATAATAAAATAAAATAAACATACAAATGTATGAATGGATGAGTTCATGCCATACAAACTATCCAAGTTCTAATCCAGAGCTCCCAAGGGCCCTGGAGGTCAGAGTAAGGGCTGGTAGCTCTGCTCTTTCTTGAACTACTTTATTTCTGTGTAACTCTAGTTGCAAGCAGCAGCCCTAGATTCTGGGCATCTCTCAAAAATGGGGTTAAATTAAAGAAAAGTAACTTTTTCACCATCATTCTCTTTATTGCCTAAGTTTCTAAGCCTGCCAACCTTACTGGGAAAATGCAAAGTTAAGAATGTGAAGGGCTACCGTTTCACACTTACTTTGAAAACACACTTTCTGTTTCTGAAGAATGGTAGACTTTTATGTGTTACATTACAGAAACCGGAACAGGAGTTAACCAAATACCGTTTGGATTTAAAAGTAGCTTGTAACACCTTCTTAGCCAGCACAATCCTAGAGTGTGGAAAAGCAGAGGTCTGCATTCTGGCCTCAATTTCAGATGGCCTTCTAGCCACAGTCCCAATTTCAGTATCTCATGACCCCCAAACCTTCCATTTAAACAATACTGCAGCTCCTTAGACTTCTTACTATAACTAACCCGTAAGTCCGTGATACGGTTAAAATATTCACTTGAGCATCAGGGAGCGCCCTCCAAAGTGCAACCGTAAATTGCAAGCAGCAAGGGGTCAGAGATGGCCAGATATTTTTGCAAAGCCTGAGTTTCTTTCACCCAGTATGCTTCAGGGTATTAAAAAAAACTTAAGATAAAGAAGAGGTGTGGGGACTTCCCCGGTGGTCCAGTGGTTAAGAATCAGGGTTTCCACTGCAGGGGGCACAGGTATGATCCCTGGTCGGGGAACTAAGATCCTGCATGCCGCAGCACGGCGAAAACAAACAAACAAACAAAAGGTGTCATTTGCCTTAGAGTATTTTTATGGGGGAGATAGTTATGAACTGAACTTCACGGCCTAAGGGGAACCAGCCAGTCTTCCACCGTGGCCCCACCGGCGCCGAGAACCTGACGGCCTCGCCCATGCCAGGTCCCTCCCCTCGGCCCCGCCCACCGCAAGGGCGGGTCACTTAGGCCGTCACCATAACGAGGCCCGGCCCCCCGACACCTCTGTCCCCGACTCAATGGGGCGGTGCCAGGAGCGGTCCCGGAAGTGACGCAAGGACGCGCCCTCCATTTTGTAGGACGCCAGAGCAGCTAAGTGCGTCAGTTGTGGAGAGACGTAGACGAGTTGAGTCCTGGTCTGCGGGGAGGCTGCCGGCTCCGTTGCAGACTACGGACCTCTCTGGGTCTCAGCTGCCAAAGATCCTGTCCGGTAGGTGAGTGGCTCACTTTGAGGGAAAGGCTTCTCGGATCGAGGCTTCTTCATGGCCGCTCAGATCGCGAGTGGTCAGGGCTGCTCTCTGTGCGGAGGACGGCGTCCAATGAGCGCAGTTTATTCGAGGTGGGCGCTGGGGCACGTCTCCCTTTGGGTATTGTTTGAGGGGACCTGACGGGGGAAGGGCGGTCCTGGTCACGGGTCGTTTTTACAGAGGGGTCGTGTGCCCCTCCCTGCCTCCTTATTTCACTCTCCGAACCCGGCGAGTAGTGGGCCGAGACCTTTGCTTGGGGTGTGGTCGGGGCTGTCCCAGGGCGGGTACAGTGACCCGGAGCGGTGGGGTCGGGAGGCGGGGGAGGGGACAGGGAGTTTGGCACGGGCGGCTGTCCCCACCGCCGGCTCCGAGGCCGCCATTTTGTGACTGCTCCGCGGCCGCCCGCCGCCGTCTGCGCAGGCGAGGCGGTGGCGTCGCGAGATTCCGGCTTCCACCCGCTGTGACTCTCCTGGGAGGCGGCGACGCGCGCGCGGCCCGTCGCCATTGGGCTGGCCTTGCGGAGGGGGGGTCGGCTCCGCCCGCACTTCTCGGCCTTTCCTGACTGCGGCAGACGGGAGGGGGCCAGAAGAGCCGGGGAGAGAGTGCGGCTGCGCAGTTCCAGAGGCGGCAGTGGGCGTTGCGGTTGCTGCTGTCTGGGCCCAGGGAAGGATCGTGTTGGGAGCCGAGTTTTAATTTTGTCTGCAAGGGACCTGGCCTAGTTAAGAGGCACTCTTGGCAGTCTTGTTTATAACATCACCGGGTAAACATTTTATTTTATGCCGTTTATGTTTTTGATCCCTTGACCAGACATTCTTCTGACATTTCACCGGTATTATCTCAATTGAATTATTTCCTGACAGGAAGTACTAGCGGGACATGAGTGGCTGTCGAGTGTTCATTGGGAGGCTAAATCCAGCGGCCCGGGAGAAAGACGTGGAAAGATTCTTCAAGGGGTATGGACGAATACGAGATATTGATTTGAAAAGAGGCTTTGGTTTTGTGGTGAGTATTTAGAACTGGTGGACTTATCTGTTGTTAAGTGGGTAAAGATTGTGGTAAGCAGTGCCTTCGATTTTATTGAGTCCAGGTAGAGTATCTTTAGGAAATGCTTTGCATCCTTGAGGCAGTGATTTTTCTTAAGGGATAAAAGACCCTCACTACTGGCTGAGAGAAATCACTGCTGGTCGCTTTTTGATGTGGCTGAGCTATATGCTGTTGTCATTAAGATACTCTTCCTAGGCTTTCACAGGTATTTGCTGGTTTTAATGGGTTGTAGAATACACTTTTAAAGGCGTGTGAAGCATTTGGGTTGTTTCATGTTTGTATTTCAGGAATTTGAGGATCCCAGGGATGCAGATGATGCCGTATATGAACTTGATGGAAAAGAACTCTGCAGTGAAAGGTGAGGATCTCGTTTTTAGTTTTATCACTAGTTAGCACTGCAGAAATAGAGCAGACTAGGTCAGCTGGGTGTTTATTTCTAAATAGTTTCTGACATAGCTTAAGTGGATAATGAAGATGTTTCTTCCCTTTCTGTAGGGTTACAATTGAACATGCTAGGGCTCGATCTCGAGGTGGAAGAGGTAGAGGACGCTACTCAGACCGTTTTAGTAGTCGCAGACCTCGAAATGATAGACGGTATGTGATGGATGGTGGATGGCTGCTTTGCACAAGCGTTACTGCAGGAGGAGTCTTTAATGTTTAAAAACCATTAGCAATAAGTGATTTTGCTGTTTATGTATAATCAGTTCTGTTACGTCCACTGTTCCTGTGTGTGTCATAAAATAATGCAGAAACTGTTGGCGGAAGTCATTTGAATGACTTGTCATATCTGATTGCTTGAACTCGCCCACAACCGAACACAATAAGTGCACGTTGCTTCATTTCTTCCATTGTGAGCGCTCATTTTCTTCCTCAGAAATGCTCCACCTGTAAGAACAGAAAATCGGCTTATAGTTGAGAATTTATCTTCAAGAGTCAGCTGGCAGGTTTGTTGAAATACAGTTTTGAGATATTTTAATGTGGCTTTTTAAAATATTAGTGGGTAGCTAATGTTTTTATTAATGTTTTATTAAAAGTAATTTTATTTTTAAATTAATGGACTTAATCGTAATTTTAAATTTTTAATTAAATGTAATTGGGGGATATTTCAAACTTTAATATTAGTGATCAAATGTAAATGTTTTGAGGATATATTTTCTTGTTTTTTAAAATCAATTTTAACCAAATATTAAACCCTTTATTTGCCAGCCTATCTGTGTCGTTGGCCTTATGACGAGGAGTGCCTGTGGGTTATCCTAATCGTTGTCTTGGTCACTCTTGGTTGGGCCTGGTTGACTTTGCCAGTCAGCTCCTACAGTGATCAATTGGCCACCTCTAGATCTGTGTTTGCCGGTCTAGACGTAATCGGTGCACTTCCTTGAAGTGCCAGGTTGCAGCGATCCCAGAGCGTTGATAACGTGATCTGATCCCTAAGTTGAGAGCTGTCTTCCTGTAACGCTTCCGAATAAGAGGTCCTGGTCGAAAAGAGTTGAAAGAAATTAGGTGGTCGTTGGAATCCTGATCGCAGTAAAGTGGTCCTTGGTAACTACACAAGAGTAGAACATGTCTGCATCCGCCAGTAGTCTGCTAATAGGGAGGGCTGTGCGATTAAAGGCTTCCATCGATTGGGTAGTGTCCTTCAAGTGGGTGGCGAAGAGCCAGTCGGGCATATGTCATGAAGGTTTCTCCGACCGATTAATGGTTTGCTGCTTGACTAGCCTAGGGAAATAATAATAAAGGTAAAGTAAACTTTTTTAATGGCATATGGGGCACAAGATAACTGGTGTCTTGTAAATGTTCTGTTTTTAAATATAAAATTTCTACTTTAGTCTTTACTTTAAAAATATGTATTGTTTCTTTTTGTTTTGTTTTTGTTTTTTTGTTTTGTTTTTTTCCTTTTGTATTGGGCTCAGTATAGACTAATACTACTTTAATGTTAAAATCTGAATTTCCTGGCATTTTGCTTAAAAGCAATATGCTATTTGCTTATTTCGTGCCCTGACATATATTATTTTTAAATTCTGATAGAATACAAGTGTGGTAAATACCATGTTTGTACTTTATCTAACATCTTCTCTTTCAGTAGTCTTGTTTTTATACAATGTGGTTGTTTGTGTGTCATGTTTCCTTTTCTCTGCTTAACACAATCGTCTTGTGTTAAGGATCTCAAAGATTTCATGAGACAAGCTGGGGAAGTAACCTTTGCGGATGCACATCGACCTAAATTAAATGAAGGGTGAGTATGTACTGGAGTATGAGAGCCTTTTAAAATATTCTGAAAGTTTTACTCTGAATGTCTGAGCTCTCAAAATTTGGACATGCTGGAATGTAGCAGTTCTCAGTCAGGGTTGAGTTTGCTCCTCAGGGTACATGTGGCAGTTCTGGAGACCTTTTGGTTGTCATGATTGAGGGTGCTGCTGGCATCTTGTGAGAAGAGGTCTGGGATGTTAGTAATCCTGTAATGCACAGGCAAGCTTCTCACCCCCAAAGAATCATCCAGCTTAAAATGTCAACGGTTTGGAGGTTGCAAAGTCTTGCTCTCATGCTGTTTTATCTGTAAAGAGATGACTCACTATAGCAATAGCAAAATGAACATTAATAAAGGTACTTAAACTAGACTGATAACATAGTTTGTGAGACTACAAAAAGTATATAACTTTACAAATTGCATTTTTTTCTTTGTAGGGTAGTTGAGTTTGCCTCTTATGGTGACTTAAAGAATGCTATTGAAAAACTTTCTGGAAAAGAAATAAATGGGAGAAAAATCAAATTAATTGAAGGCAGCAAAAGGCACAGGTATCTCTTTAAATTGTTTTTAAATATAAATTTATTTATTTTGGCTGCGTTCGGTCTTCGTTGCAGTGCTTGGGCTTTCATAGTTGCGGCGAGCAGGGGCTACTCTTCATTGTGGTGCGTGGGCCTCGCATTGCGGTGGCTTCTCTTATTGCGGTGCACGGGCTCTAGGTGCTTGGGCGTCAGTAGTTGCAGCACCTGGGCTCACTAGTTGTGGCTCGCGGGCTCTGGAGCGCAGGCTCAGTAGTTGTAGCACACGGGCTTAGTTGCTCTGCGGCATGTGGGTTCTTCCTGGACCAGGGATCAAACCCGTTTCCCCTGCATTGGCAGGAGGATTCTTAATCACTGCGCCACCAGGGACGTCCTGTTTAAATTTTTAGGTCAAAGTTTTATTTAATGGATTGTAGGGCCTGCTGCTTAGTGTTTTTTGTTTTCTGTTTTCTTTCTTTCCTAGTAGGTCGCGAAGCAGGTCTCGTTCCCGGACCAGGAGTTCCTCCAGGTCTCGTAGCCGATCTCGTTCCCGGAGTCGCAAGTCTTACAGCCGGTCCAGGAGCCGGAGCCGGAGCCGGAGCAAGTCCCGTTCTGTTAGTAGGTCTCCTGTGCCTGAGAAGAGCCAGAAACGTGGTTCTTCAAGTAGATCTAAGTCTCCAGCATCTGTGGATCGCCAGAGGTCCAGGTCCAGGTCCCGGTCCCGGTCAAGGTCCAGATCAGTTGACAGTGGCAATTAAACTGTAAATAACTTGCCCTGGGGGCCTTTTTTTAAAAAAAAAAATTCCCAAACCATACTTGCTAAAAATTCTGGTAAGTATGTGCTTTTCTGTGGGGGTGGGATTTGGAGGGGGGTTGGGTTGGGTTGGGTTGGGTTGGGCTGGGCTGGGCTGGGTTGGGCTGGGTATCTTTGTAGATGTGGACCACCAGGGGGTGTTGAAAACTAATTGTATTAAATGTTTTTGATAAGCCTTCTGCTCACATTTTTGTGAATGTCTGAAGTATATAGTTTGTGTATATTGACAGAGCTCTTTTATAACTAAAGCAAATTTAATTTTTTTGTACTAGAAAAAATTTGAACGTTTTAGTTCCTGGTTATTCAAATATGTTAATACAGAATTAGTTTAATGCCTCACTTAAACTAATTAATAGCTTTGGACACTTAAAAGAGCTCTAAATTTGCTTGTACGTAAAGGCTTAATTTGAGTTTTCCTTGTTAGGGTCAAGGGTGTCCGTCCACCCACCCTTTAACAGCTGCCTGGCAAAGACGTTAAAGCAGCTGTTTGTTATTGATAATAAAAGATTATAAAACTGCTTTTGTCTGTTCGTTTGAAGGAAATATGGCTACATCCTCCTCCTTCCCCATGCACATTTGACACATTTAAAATCTCTGGTAGAGAAGGCTGTAGTAGTGAGGTATGGTGAGCCTTTTTTTTTTTTCTAATTAGTACTGTTGATGTTTCTTGGCTAGTCAGAAGATGGCAAAGAAGTGTGAACTGTTCAAAACAGTGATGACCAACAGTTGTTATGACAGTTTCCCTTGTGTGTGATCCTCCTGTTCTTTAACCACCCAATTTTATTTGGCTTCACGTTATTTAGGCCTTCCGTAGCCAAGAAAAGGACAATTTGGGAAGCAAGATTGTAAAATGTAATGTTTCATGCCTAACTTAAAGGTTGTAATATAATTTTGATGGTCGGAGATCATCACATAAAACTTTTAAAATCACTGCACATGAATGCTTTAAGGGGCTTTCACATGATTTTTCTTGTCCTGAGACGTGGATGTAACAGTCTGTTAAAGGGAAAACAGTTGGGTAGTGAAAACTGCCTAAGGTTCTATATCCATCTCTGTTAAGTGTTAGAGCCCTATACCTATAGGAAATTAGTTTTATTGTTTCTTCTAGGAACTTCATAGACTCATTTGAGTGCTAGTCTAGGTAAATACTTGTAAGCATAACAGTGAATAACAAATAGTAGCCACTATTAAGTCCCTTGTCTGTATAGTCACTGAATCCTTAACTATTATATGTAGTATATATATAATTCCTGGAATTAGAACCCAGGAAGTCTAGTTCCAGAACCCCCAAACCACTCCACACTCATCTGACCTAACCTTTCAGGGATTTTGAGGAATGCAGAATTAGAAACCCTGGGAAGATAGGGCTTCCCCAAAGGTGGGGATTGGGTAGTGGGAACCTCCATATGTGGAGGCTAGGGTTAAAAGTTCTTGGCATGAAAGCTGCCCCGTGTTCAAGACTGCAAGACTCAGGCCATAAAATTGTGAAGCTGATCTTTTTAACGCAAACTCTTCTGGGGAGAGTTTGTGTGGTATACTTGTTTATTCACTTAGATGTGGGGTACTCTGCTTACTAAATGGGAACCTAGGTTTTTTTTCTTTACAGTGTATCTGAAATGGAGAGGCACAATTATTTTCCCCCTTGGGCTTTTTAGATGTGGTAACTCAGGGTGGCGTGGTGTAGTTCGACGTTTTACCAGTGACTTTTCACCTCTCTATCATTAAATAGGTAACATCAGTGGCTTACCACTTTAATGAAGAAGATAAAGCCCTTTCTTTGAACAAATGGCAGAGATGACTAAGTTATTTTGAACTGATAAGTTGGCCTGAATTCCCAGATACAGGACATGAGAAGTAATGAGTGTGGGTATATAATCCTAAGGAAAGTTTTAGGACCAGGTTTTGCAGGGCATAATGTAACTCGTTTTGTGTTGGGCTGTACTGTGGGGAGTGTGGGATCTTAGTTCCTGGACCAGGGATCGAACCCGTGCTCCCTGCAGTAGAAGCACGGAGTCTTGAGCACTGGACCGCCAGGGAAGTCCTTGTAATAACTCGTTTCTTATATACAGTTGGCCCTTGAACAACACAGGTTTGATCTTCATGGGTCCACTTAGATACAGACTTTTCAACAAATATGCATTGCCGTATTACACGATCCATGTTTGGTTGAATCAGTTGACGTGAAATCTTAGATACAGAGGGCTGACTAAAGTATACTCGAATTTTCAGCAACATGGAGGTTGGCTGTTCAGCGGTCAACTTAGTCCTCTAAGGAAAGTTTGAGTGTAATATATCTCAAGTTCAGCCATACCTTCCTCAAAAAGCTGAACTAAATGTTTGTTTTGCCTCACCCAGTCTACTAGTAGGTGATGTCAGCTAGATATGAGAGAAAACAGTTTGAACAGATATGTAAATGTGGGTAAAATATGTAAGGCTGATAGGCGGTAGATCTTACAATTTTTTTTTTTAACAAATTTGCATTTTTAAGACGTTAGTGACCCAAATTATTGGTGTTCTGTTGCTGGGAGTACTGGTAGTTCTGGACATTTGCCAGAAACTCTAGGCATGGTCAGCTGTTTGCAAGTGTTCTTATTTGTTAATCTTTCACCTTTTTTTTTTTCTAGATTTATTTTATTTATTTATTTATGGCTGTGTTGGGTCTTCGTTGCTGTGTGTGGGCTTTCTTTAGTTGCGGCGAGCAGGGGCTACTCTTCACTGCAGTGCACAGGCTTCTCATTGCGGTGGCTTCTCTTTTTGCAGAGCATGGGCTCTAGGCACATGGGCTTCGGTAGCTGTGGCTCGCGGGCTGTAGAGCACAGGCTTAGTAGTTGTGGCGCACAGGCTTAGTTGCTCCACGGCATGTCGGTCTTCCTGGACCAGGGCTTGAACCCATGTACCCTGCATTGGCAGGTGGATTCTTAACCACTGCGCCACCAGGGAAGCTCTTTCACGTAGTTTTTTATGCCTATGAGCCAGATGGAAAATGTCTGAATTTCATTGGGGAAAATTTGAAACTTAAGGATTTTAGTTACTTTACTTTGACTTAGCAACCACTAATTTCGGCAATAGGGTACAGTACTCTGAATTTGGAGGGAGCATAATGTGAAAACTACTGATATCTAATGAAGGGGTGGGATAGATGATTAGTGAAACTCTTCTGTTGGTATTTGTACTTTTTTGGCTTTTCTTTTTTAAAGTTTTCCTTCTCTTCTGGAATTGTGTTCTTCAGAATGTTTCATTTGATTATGGCTGAGGTTTTGAGTTTGTCTTATCCAAGTGTTTTTGCATTTTATTATGTCTGCTTTTGCATACTTGGTGTCATGTTCTCAGGAGCTTTAATCCCAGTAATGTCAAAAGGGAAGGAATGGGATCTGAATATTTAAGGTTAGAAAGGACTTCTGAAGTCTGTTAATCCTACAGTACTCTGAGCTTGTATTTCCCTTTGGGGTCACAAAACTTGGAACAGAATTTGGGTATTTGATTTTAGGGTAAGAACCCATTTATTGACTAGTTCAGAAATTGATTTTTTATGCCTATCAGGCACTGTTCTAGAGATGCAAGGGCAAAAGGCAGTTTTGGTTTCTGCCTTTGTAGGGCTGTCATTGAATAAGTCTTTTATTTTTTAAACAAGTATCAAGTTCTAAGCTGGGAATAGGTGAGGCTTTTTGGGGAAGACTCCCACTTTGTCCTCCACGCAAGGCTTGATGATTCTGATAGTTTATGCTGGAAATGCTAGAGAAAGAGACCCCACTGGTGGTGGTTCATCTTTCTGCTCTCTGTATAGTTTGCCACATTGGCTTTCTGAATTGCCTTCTGACCAGAATCCAGGTCACTGGAGAAGGCTAGGCTGTGCAAGGGGGGCACGCCTCCCCTTTATGGGTGCCATTTCCCAGAGCTGTTGGAATGGTTTCTTCAGTTGTGTCAGCTTTGTAGATCATTTTTGTTTTATCTGTAAAGTTGAAGAGGGTCATAGGTTAGGAAGAACAAAAGAATAGTTAAAAAACTTGTTCTATCTGGGAGATAAAAGAATACCAACTTACTCCTAGGGTGTCCTGTGTTTTTGTTTTTTCCCCCATCTCTTTACCACCTCTTCTCCCGTGACTTAAACTGAGGAAAGATTTGCTTTCCCCCCAACATCCCTAATGGTAATACTAGTAACAAAAGGTCTAATAAAAAGCACTGACTCTTCATCACTCCATCTCTGACTTCTTAGTACACACAGTACAGATGGGGAGTTGAGTTTATGTAAGCAAAGGTTGACTGTTGCCTTCTGGGAGCCAGTGGGGGCAGGGAGGAAACTGCATTAAGTAGAAAGTCTTCCAAGGGGTGTTTCCATACCCCTATCATTGTGGTGTCGGGTCTACCCCTTTTTCTGCCTGCATGGTGGTGGGAGGAGCTATGATTATGGTCCCCCTTTCCTGTTCTCCGATCTCTCTAGAAGGGTACAAGGGTCAAAAGCACAGAAACTTGTGACAGATTCTTTAACTTGAGCATTGCTGCTTGGGCCCAGACAGTACAAGAGCTCCAAAGAGGTGAGTTATTTGCACTTAGTTTTGCCACAGGGGTCTTGCTAGGTACATTGGTTTTGAGAGCCAGAGACTCAGAATATGGCCTCTTGAGTGCATTTCAGGCCTTTCTGGGACTAAAACTGCAAATCTGGGAATCTGCTTTTTTTGTTAAAGAAGGTGGAGTGTTCAGTGGGTAACAAATATCTTGAGTTGCTCTCAAGAGAAGTTCAGATTAGATTCTTTTCCATAATTCCACTGTGGTTTTTGAACCAAAGCTTAGTAAAAATGGTTCTGAAGTATGGTTACTTATTTACTGGTTTCTTTGGCTGCTTGATAACCAATATTACATCTTTTAAGTTAATTGTAAGTTTTCATTTGCTACTATAAGATGATAAATTCTACCAGGGTAAGTTGTATCTTTCTCATAGGGTGTAAA